TCTCTACTGTACCAGTTCTCTACTGTACCAGTTCTCTACTGTACCAGTTCTCTACTGTACCAGTTCTCTACTGTACCAGTTCTCTACTGTACCAGGCCCTGGACTTTCTTCGCAGACACGAGCACAAATACGGAGTACCTCGGGACTGAATACCGAGAGATCCGTGTTGGATCCATGTTGGATCCGCGTGTTGTTGGTGACCCGTGTGCGGGAATGGGGATACTGTAAGCTGAATCTTCGACAAGATCTCGGGGGGCCGACGATGAGTGAGTGACTGAGTGACTGAGTAAGGCAGCGTGAGGGAATCAGGTATGGGTTGATGCGAGCACTGCAGTGAACTTGCCGTGGCACTCGGGTTCTGGACCCACGTATTACTGTGGGAAAGAGCATGAACTTGTCATGGTCGAACTGCGGCACTGGTTGACTGCCTTGCTTCTATGGTTGCTGCCCTTCCCCATCCGCCAAGAGCAGTTCGCCTTGAAATCCACTTGTTGTCGCCTTTGCGTCTGATTTACTGGGACCCTGTCTTGTCGTCTCGACTTGCAGGTACCTCCCTGTCCGTCCTGAGAACGACGAGCTTTCCCCGCCGTAGTAGGATCACAACGTCTATCAATCCCAGACTGCCTCGCGTTGACACTAAGCATTGATGTGATGGAGGTGGCTGGAGACATGTGAAGCCCTTTTTTGGTCCATGCCCGTGAGTGAAGCTCTTGTGTCTATCAGAAACGCCAGCTGCCTAACCCTTGACGCCTTTCTTCTGCTTGACCGTGGATTCCTTGCCATCAATCTTTCCGCTGATCCTCGCCATCATCTCCTCCCGCTGCATTAGATGGCCTACTCGCTCCAGAAGACCAAGGAGGCCCTTCATACTGTTGCCCCATTCATCCAACACCTCATCTGGTCCACGTTTGACTTCAAAGCTCACCACTCGTGCTGGTCTGTCGATTCGTGCGTAGACAGTCTTCTTGGTAACCAGGTCGGAGATGTACTTCTCGGTCTCTTCGTCGGAAAGGTCCAGAAGCTCGGTAAGGCGAGGGAACGTTATACGGGTATAGTATTTGGCCACGACCCGTACGTTGTGTTCGATGACACGGTGTCGAAGGGCTTCGTAGCGGGTATGTGCCTTCGGATCGCTCGGGTCGGCAGTCTTGGAGAAAATATCTGTTGAGCAGAGGTGCTCACCGTACTGTTGCTCGACTATGGGCCAGCGCATCAGCTCCGGGATCGTGAACTGCTTCAGGAGTGCAGCATCTCGTGGCACTTGAGAGTTGCGAGCGTCTTGGTTAATGCGGTGTAGCAGGTCGGATTGTTCATTGTCGTATGGAGCCAGGAGAACAAAGTATATCACCCGTTGAAGTACAGCGCGAAGCTGGTCCGGGTTGTTTTCGACAGACTCGGTGTCGAGTACTTGCCGGTAGTGCTTGCACACTTCAAGGTATTTGTCTTCGTGCTTCGCCAGCGTGATCTGTTGTTCGTAGTACCGCAGCTTGAGGTCTGTCACATCGTCTTCCTTCTCCGGCTCGGGCTCGTCCGCCGTCCTCTTCTTGTCTTTCTCCTCTTGTTCCTTTTTCTCCTTCTCGATTTGTTCGGACGTCTTCTTGGGTTTTCGAGCGAAGTATCTGGTGCTAATCTTCCTGCTGAGGATTGCCGCCTGGGTCCAATCGCCGTTCTGGATGCACAACGACACCTGTTCCAGAATGAACTCTGTCTTCTCCCTTCTGGTCATCGACCCGAATGTCTCGACCTGGAGTTCACACAGGATGTCGCAGGCTGATTTGATGTCGCCTTGTTCTTTCTTGATGTTGGACAGTATCCGCGTGATTCTAGCTCGCTCGACCTCGACGAAGATCTGGTTCATCATCAGCAATCAGCCCCAGCATTGACACCTCCGCATCTACGTACCTTGCCCTCAGTCACCGTCCTCAGCGCCTCGATGACGCTGAGCTTCGTTTCTAGGTTGGGTGTATCATCCAGGAACCCGATGACCACCTGCACCATATTTGTGATGGCCTGTTTGAGCTGGCCATGTTTCTTGGACAGCAGCAGGACTTGTTCGTTCAATAAGCTCCAATCCCCAGCCTCTTTACACAGGGTGACGATTGTGATTAAGCATCTCGATGTGGTGGCGAGGTCTGACGCCTGGGATACGATCAGTAAAGCGTGGATTTGTGTTGGGGACAAATAGATGGCGCACTTGTCTGGCCTGTTTCTCCAGTGAGAGGATTCGATCAATACCCTTCTGAATATCTTTCTGCATGACTGTCAGCTCAGTTTCCGTATCTGTGAGCCAGCTTATTGACCTTCGCTATTGCGTCTGCTTCTGGAAGCACCTTGTCCGCTTCCTTGCTGAAGTCCTTCTCCGGCTTGAAGAGTGCGCCGTCCGACATGGTGGCGGTATGCAAGGATGGACGAGGAACTAGACGCGAGCAGTATCTGGATAAAGTCCACCGAAAAGCTACACGAGGAGAGGGCAAAGTGACGTGTTGATATTGTGTCGGTTTACTGGACTCAACCTGAGAGTCGCTCCGGGCCTTGAAGCCTTGAAGCCTTGACGCGTCCTTGGCGCCTGCGCTTCCCAGCCTTGCAGTGCCTAGCAATGACGCTACGCCGTTTTGGGGCGGAGGCTCTGAGTCTTCTCGTACGAGGTACAACTAATTATCGTTCTTCTTAGTTGAGTAAGCATGCAATGATCAGTCAAGTAGCAACGGTCACAGAAGTGTCATGGACATACAAATTCAGCAATCAAAACAATCTTCGTCAGCCTACGTTTCCGAGCCAAGATCGTGCCATATCTACCCAAGTGAGCATCATTATGGCCACTCCCAAGTGCCTTTCCCTGGTCCCCTCATATCGGTCATGATATCTATCCCATCCTCCCGCCGAATTTTACACGCTTCCCAGGAAGCCCTGGGCCTCCAACATCAAGACGATCTGATGAACAATATTCCTGACAGACATTTTCTCGCAGTCCACCGTCAAGTCTGCATCGGTGGGAGCTTCATACGGGTCGTTGACACCGGTGAAATTCCTAATCGAGTTCCTTCTGGCGCGGGCATAAACACCGCGCTTGTCCGTCTTCTCACTGAACTCCAGGCTCGTCGCGACATGTACCAAGAAGAAACTGCCATATCGCTCAACGGTTTGTCGGGCCTCTTGGCGCGCCTCTGCAAAGGGCGCAATCGGGGCAGCAATGACCGCAGCCCCAGCTTTGGTCAACTCGGCGGCGACAAAAGCGATACGCGCAATGTTTGTGTCTCGGTCTTCTCGGGTAAATCCAAGCTCGGCCGATAGTTCAGAACGCACAGTCTCGCCCAGGAGAAGGGTCACTGGTCGACCGCCTTGCTCGTTGAAGGTGACTTGCAGAGCGCGTGCAATGGCGTCTTTGCCCGAGTTGGTGTACCCGGTAAGGAATATGGTGAAGCCTTGCTGCGCGCGAGGAGGGTTGGACTCCCGGAGCACTTTGACAACCTCGGGATACGAGAACCATTCTGGAATGGGAGCGCCAACTCTCAGTCGTCTTCGAAGTTCCGTGCCGGAAATGTCAAGCGTCTTGACGCCCTCAGGGACCTGATCCTTCGGCCGGTACTCGTCGGTGTCAGGCAAGTAGGTCATCATTTGAAACTCGACCACCTCGATGCCCAACTCATCCTTGTACTTTTCCACGGCGTGCTGGGCGTCATAGGGGCCATAGAAATCCTTTCCGGCGCTGTTCTTACCAGGGCCAGCATGGTCTCTGCCAATGATGAAGTGAGTAGCGCCGTGGTTCTTCCGGATGATTGCGTGCCAAATCGCTTCACGAGGCCCGCCCATTCGCATGGCAAGCCCGAGCAAGCCGAGAACAGCCATGCCGTTGGGGTATCTGGGCATGAGAGCCTCATAGACACGGACACGAGTAAAGTGGTCGATATCGCCGGGCTTGGTCAGACCCACAACCGGGTGGATGAGGACGTTGGCTTGACGTGCACGAGCGGCGCGGACAGTCAACTCACGATGGGCTCTGTGCATGGGATTTCGTGTCTGGAAGGCCACCACACGGCTCCAGCCCAACTTGTCGAAA